ACCACAGAACTGTATTTTTCTTTTAACATCATTCCTGAACAGTTTCCACCAGGAGAATTGACAAGCAGATGGTTTTTCCTCATTTAAGCAGTAAGCCCTGCTACAATGGGGTTGGATGGGGAGGAACACGCAGGTTGAAGCAGCACAAGGGCACGGGTTACCCACACAGTGGATGGGGGGGGGGGTAGGGGTGCAAAGCAATCTTTTCCACAGCAAAAAGTGTGAGCAGACGTGCATCACTAACCCGGAACCATTTCTTCTTTCCATGGTAGACAACCTGCTTTTCACAGCCTTTGCTTTGAAGTTCAGAATAAGAACGTCACGTGTCAGAGGACTTCAGTGGGTACTGAGAAAGCAAAGACTCTTTCCAAGCTAACAGGCTCCTCACCACTTCCCCTTGTTTTCTGCATCCATCTGTGCGCACAATTGGACAAATTTCTATTTTGAACCACATTGTTGCCATGCTGCAACGTTACTCCATGGCAGGAGCAATTCTGCTCATCAAGGAGAAGCCACCTGTGGCTCCAGGAGGCTGACATCTGTCTTACTGCCTACAGAAAGCCCACACAGGGAATATTAACTCTGCCTGCAAGCCGTCAGCAGCTCTTGCTCAGACACTTCTTGAGGCAAAGCCAATCCACGTGGGCATCTCCCTGGGGTCCTGTCCTCACCACCCTGCATCACCATGCCCTGTCCTCGTGGCTGCACCCAGCTGCTCCAGGGCTGTAAGAGAAAGGCATCACGGCAACACTGAAAAACCTCTCTGAGGAACAGCAGAGAGGCAGACTTTCAGAAAACACTCAGAGAAACAAACGAATCATCTGAATTAGAAGATGAGCTTCAAAAGCTGTTGCTTAGGCAGATCTGTGATCTAATCCCATGAGTCACGGCAGCTGTGCCTGGAAAGCAGCACAGACCCTGCCTTGGTTTCTAGCAAAGCAGAGCTTCCTTTCACCACCTGCCCTGTTAGCTTCCCCATGGTTTCACAAAGCACTGGGACACCCCTGCCACCACTCCCAGCCTTTCAGCCTGGTGCCAGCTTTACCAGGGCTGAATCACTCCCTGTATCCAGGTTTCCATCTGCACCATTAGAAAGAAGCAGCACTGCAAAACTGTGAAGACCTCTGTGACACGGGAAAGTTTGAAGGTGAAGAGGACATGCTCATAGGGAGCCAGCATTTCTGGGAATGAAGCAGAGTGGAAGACAAGCCTTCAAGAAAAGGTTAAAATTAACATCCTGATTGAGATACAGCTCACAGGAATCAGCTCAAAGAAACAGGCAGGAGGATGAGTGTGAACAGAGTCCTAGGGAAGACTGGGATGTAAAGGATGCAAGTCTTTCATCTTCTGCCTCTCCCATGAGCTAACCTGGGCACTGGTCTCCTTGGCTGGGTGAGCATCTCCAGAGCTGAGAGAATCCCTCTCACAATTAAAAAAATACCCCTCAGGAGGCAGGCCAGCATGGTGCCACACCATTTCCATAGGCTTCACTCTTCAGCCTTTTACACTCGCTTACAGTTTGACAATTCTGAGCTGTTACAGCCCTGGTCTTTGGGATAACCAGTCCCATTTACTGTTCTGGGAGAGCTATAGAAAACGTATGGCTTCAGCAGAATTAAATCATCACCTCCTGTGGAACATCAGGTGTGGAAAACACCAACACAGAACCTTCAACAGATCCCCCAGCACGAGTCTCAATGAGAGACCATCACAAGTTTTAACCATAGGCTGCTTTGGGCTGTGTAACACACAGGACTGCCTTCCCAAAGCATATGTTCACAGCGTTGTAAGAAAGCAGCAAATCTTGGGTGGCATTCACGATCAGAAACCAGATAAGGGATGCTGCACAGAAGGGAAGAGGAACGCAGGGAGAGAAAGGAACAAAGAGAACTGCTTCAGCACCTAGCAGTGTTATCTGTGATGTCAGTAATTAGCATGGAGTTATGATGATCACAGTGAGCAGATCACACGGTGGGATTGCTCCACAAAAGCACTCATTCGCAGTTAAATTTTACACCAAATTGCAGCATGAAAAAGAACAACTCTCCATAGAGGCCAAGGCAGAATTGCCAGAGAATATGCAGGTATTCAACAAGCCCTGTGGAAACAGCGTAAGCGGCTCAGTACAGTAAATCCTGCAGAAAAGCATGCATTCATCAGGAAAAATATATATGTATTAAGGAAAAACCTGCTTTATTCTATTTTCCCCTGGCACACAAGGACAGGCTTGGCTAAAGCCTTTTTTTTTTTTTTTCTTCTTTTTTTGCACCATCTCAGTGCCTCTGCTGCGTTTCCCCTCGTCTAGACATCTGCACTCTGCATGCAGAACGAGCACTGCTGACGACAGAGGGGAGATCTTACTTGCATTTCCCAGCCCCGTTTGCAGGCATTTTGCAGACATAACTGATGACGCACTCTGCAAGCCCTGGAGGAGGCTTGGGGCTCGTTACACTTTTTGCTGCATAGACACGTTCTGCAATCACTCCAACAACCTCAGCAAGTATGCAGGCAAAGAAAGGCAGCGAGAGGTCCTGAGCACCACAGGGACACAGCTGGGGAATGCACCAGCTCTGTAACTCGGGCTGGGGATTGCACAAACATGACCCTGAGGATCTCTTGCAAGTTGCACTGCAAAAATGGAGACTGCTAAAAAGAATCTCCAGGATCCCAGGCTCCAAGACCCCGAGCCAAGACCAGATATCAAATCATCTCCCCCATTTCTCCTGCTCCAAGCAGTCAGAACGAATGGGCTCAATCCAGCAGCCTGAAGGTGTCCTCCCTGCTCACTGCCTTTAGGAGCAATGTGAGCTGCCATTTAGTCAATGGGAAAATAACTCGGTTTAGCTTCTTCCCCTGTCATTAGCAGGCATCACATTAAGAACACTGCAAATCGCTGAAGAGAGGAAGAAGCACTTGTGCTAATCAGATTTCATTAGCTGGCAGCACCATGCATCAAAGCAGGCTAGAGACAGCAGAGAGGGAACTGCAGTCCTAATGGGAAACCTCAACACAAGCACCACGTCCTTCTGGATGCAGCATTTCCTTGCTAAACAAACACCAGGGTCCTCTCCACAGCACAACCAGCGATGCACACATCAGTGAGCACAGCATCCCCATCCTGGAGACTCTCCCCAACCCCAGGGGTCCCTGGGATGCTCTCACCTGATGCTCTCCTGACAACACATATCTCCTTAATGCAGCAGCAAAAGCCACGAGATTTCAGAGCTGGGACCAGAAGCAAAAACAAGCCAGAACTAGAAATAAGGCAGAGGTTCTAAACGCAAGGGTAATTTCCCAACCTGACAAGGACATTCAGGGTGTTTACTATCTATCACACATCACTCAGCCTTGAAATCAAGATGCAACATATGCAAGAGCTCAACCAGAAACACAGGCTCAGGGCGATGACTCGTGGAAGCTGGATTCATTAAGCCACTGAGTTCCATGCTCTTGTCACATCAACTGAGTTCAGCAGAGCACAGAACCCCGTGAAATTAAACCAGCTCAAGGTTTTCCAAATAGAAATGCTTTCATCTGGCACAATTTAACACACGCTGCCCTTCTGTGCAGATCAACCCACGCTGGCACAAAGCCCCACACACCCTCCCTTGCTGCGCAGGGAGACGTGCCCAGGTGCATCACGTCTCTGAATAACAGCAGGCACAAAATATGGCACTTGCTTTGCAATAGAAAAGTGAGCAGGAATAACAGAAGCACAAGACAAGCAGCAGTGCAGGTGCACATGGTGACAGCACACCTGGGTTTTGCTGACAGAGCTCCAGCCCAGCACTATTCAGAATTATCATCAGCTAGATCTGAACTTGAAGGCAAAATTTAAGTAAGTTTTAGCTCCTTGTCACCCAAAAGGAAACACTGACATGCTATCCAACCCCAAACCACCTTTTAGTCCTACCCCATTTCTGTTCCAGACTGGGCTCGGGCCTCTGTGGGATGGCACAGATCAGCATCACTCCTACAGCAACTGCACCAGAGCTCCTAATTTTCAGGAATACCAGGAACTGAAGCCAATGTATCACCTGTTATCTAGAGGTGTTACATGTTGTTAATCCCATAGCACAAATCAACCAGAAGATGCACTACAGCTGTGCATACCCAGCCCACCAATCCCTCACAACTCAGCTGGCTGCATTACCGTGGGCATTAAACAGATTGAATAGAATAGCATGAAAATACAAGTTCCTCAAACTCTCATCAGCTTTTTCCAGCTTTCAGCCTACCAAGAGAAGCTGTTCACTGCCACTGCAGTTATTGGTATTAAATTACCTCCATAGTGAGACCCACCTGCATCCAGGCTGCGGTGCCATACAGACACACACTAAGATGCCCAAGATGCATTATCCTCACCCACACACTGGGAAAACTGGGAAGGATGCAAGGCTCAGCCAGGAGATCTTCCTCTTTTCAGCCAGCCCATGGTGGTGAGTTGGGTCTGAACCCAGCCAAAGCATTCTACTATGGCTTTCAAGCAGCTCCCAAATTCATCACATCTCGGTCACTTGGGGACGCTGGAATCACCCAGTTCAGCTCAATAACATAATATGCTTTGTTTCCTTTATTCAGGGATCCAGTACATTTTATACATTAACCTGAGCCCTTCACCAGCACAATTAATTCAGCAAACTGGGCCACTCGTTGGGCCATTGTTGCTGAAAGATGTGCAATACGAGCCACTAAAATATATAAACAACATACGGGATTGCAGAGTGGATTGACAGAAAGTAATTAAGTGAGCTGGAAACCAGCCAGGACAGTAAAACGAAATAGTTTGTTTGGATTTCTTTTTTCCAAATAGCCAGAAGTGGTCTAGGCTTCCCGTTGCTGCCCAGCTCTGTGGACCAGCTGGGAGAAGCAGGAAACCCATTGGACCAATGCACCAGATCCATGCCTTGGCATAACATGGGGTGAGAATCAACATGCTCTTTCCAAGGACCCAAATGTTTCTATGTACAGCAACCAGTGCAGCTGGGTGCAGACCTCACCTGTGGTTTCCAGAAGAGCAGAACTGCAGCTGCTGAGTCAGGGAGCTAGCTTCTCCCTGCCTGCAGTTCTTTTGCAGACTCTAAACCTGCAGTTCACTTGCACAGCTCTAGCATCTGCAAGCCCCCCACTGCAGGAGCTGCACCTGGTCCAGCTCCTCCTGAGCTGACCTTCAGCCTTGGCTGATGCAACCCAGGAGCTCCTGGAGCATCTCCATGGGCAGGACTCAGCACCTCAGAAAGATCTTTCAGGATCAGAGCTCCAACAGCTTCCCTACAAAATAAATAAATAAATGGATAGATAGATATTACAAGAGTCAAAGCTATAGCCAGAACAAGAGACCCACAGTGCCCCCCCCTCCAACCAGCTCCTCTGCCCCACTCTGGCTTTTATTAAGGGGCAGTTGCTGCCTGATTGAGCTCCTGCAGCTCCTGTTTCACTACAGCTGCACCTTCCCTGGGGTGAATCAGTCCTTAGGGACGTTTCCCTACAAGCATCCCACCGCAAGCTCCACAGGCTTTCCCTGCCCCACAGTGATGCTGGACCACATCTCTTCCTGCATGTTTCTGCATTCCCATTGCCCTGCATGGCCTTCCAGTCCCAGAGCCACATCCTGACCTGGACCATAGCTCCCACCCCTCCCTTGCACTAATTACATGAGATTGCCCTGAGGTGGGGTGAAATAAACAACCTGAGGTACAGCACAAGAGGCCAAAATGCCCAGAAATTGCTGTTTATGTGGGAAATAAACAGCTGCAAAGAGCAGCGAGGTCACAGTGAAGTGTGGAGTGGGAAAAGCGAGCCTCTTCTTGACTTCTTCTGCCTCTAGAGAGCATTGTTGCATTTTCTTCCCAGCAAGAAACAAGAACAGAGGCATCTCCCCGCTCTGTGAGTAGTGGCACTTGAAATGCTGCAGTGGCACATAATAGTCTCACATTAAAACCCCCATACATCCCTTTTGCAAGCTCTGAGGACTAACAAAGCCTCGCAGAGAAGGTCACCATGCTTTGGGATCCGGCTTGCATCTCTTTCAACACACATCAGGGGCTCACAGCAAAACATTTCTTGAGAAAGGGCAACTGTTCCTCCCTGAGAAGAGCAGAAGGGCTCTGCAGAGCATAGCAGCGTGGGCAGAGGGAGGAGGAAGAGGAAGCAGGACCTCATGTGTGTGACCCTCTGCTCTGCTCTGCTCATCTGGGGGATGCAGCCCTTGCTCAGGCGCCAGGAGAGAGGACAAATCCCTGATGGGACTGCAGTGAGCCTCACCTGCTGCCTCTGTGTGCAGGATCCATCCCATCGCAGCATCCCTGCGTGACATCTCCACCTTCTCTTCCTCCTGCTCCATCTGCCCCATCCTGTCCTCACCCCCCCCTTCCCCCCCCAACTGCCCGCTCCCTCAGTCCAACTCATTATCCACGATCAATTAAAATATATTTTTAAAAGAGCATCACTACTGCTATGAAGAGAAAGGTTATTACTGGTCCAATTTGCCACGGACAGAATAATTACTGTCTCCCACGCAGTGAGTCAGGCTGCAGCCAGGGCTCAGCCGCCGGGGACGAGCGGTGTCTGGTGGCAGCCAGAGGGTAATGTGCACGGGCTGATGGGCTGATAAGGGGCAGCAGACATCGGTGAGAACATGTTGTAATGAGCTGCCTTCGCTGAAGCACTCTGTGCTTTCAAAGCCGGCATGTCTGCCATCATTCTCTTCTTCTGGAGTGCGGGAGGGAAACTGGAGGGACAAGGACAAGGAAGGCATGCAAAGGGCAAAGCAAAAATACCATTTTGCATGAGCTCAGCTGCTGTGAAATCCTTTAGAGAACTCCCAGCTGCACAACCAGCGCGTCTCACGGGAGGACAGGAGCAGGCTTTTGGCTTCTCCAGGTCACGGCCACCTGGGCAGAGCAGAGGGAAGCTTTGAGCAAGGCCAGCACTCGGCAGCCACCTGCAGAGCCAGAAGTTGTTCTAAACAGCACCAGCCGGTTTGATACGGCACTTTGTTTGCAAAGGAAAGAAGAAATGCCGGTGCAAGGAGGCAGGGTGGCAGCTGAGCCCCTAGGATTCCTGTGAAAACCAATACCTTCCTTACAGTGAGAACCAATTCACCAAAACTTTGGCAACATAGGAAATCTCAGCTCGGAGAGCTGCTGCCCAGCACAGTGCTCTGAAGCATCACTTTCGCTTGTGTATCCTCATTCCCACCCCTGGCACTCAGCTGAGCTGATCTCTTCATCAGTCCTTAACCCCTGTGCAAACCCTTGTTGCAGGCAGGAAAGCCACAGCCTGTGATACAATCAGTGCACTTCTCTTTTGGGGTGGGTAAAGGGTTTGCTTCAGGGGCTCTGGGCATGGGAGAAATGGGCCACCTCAAGAGTATGGCCACTGGGTTTTGTGCTTCTCTTCTGGAGTTTTGCACATGGCTCTGCTCCCTCTGCCCTCCTGGCTCAGTGGGCATGGTGGGGATTGATTGGGGTTGAACTCTATGACCTTAGACATCTTTTCCAACCTTAATAGTTCTGTGATTTTATGATCCTATAACCCTATAAGCCAACAAGAAAGGGGATCCCAAGAACCTCACGCTGCGGGGGAAATGACAGCAGCAGAGCGTGGCAGGGGGACAAGGCACTGCACAGTGGTGGCAACCATCTGTCACTGGCTCATCTCATCACAGCTCCATCCCTGAGGGCAGCAGGTTTGCTTCCAGCTTGGGCATTCCTGGAAATCGCCTCCAATGTCAAAACATGGGCAGGAAGGAGGCTGATCCAGAGGCTGTTTTTGTGACTTTTGTTCTGTTATTTTTTATGGTGGCTGTTCTCCAAGTATTAAACAATTGGCCAACTGCAGGATCCTGCTATGAAGTCAGGAGTTATATTTAAATTTCGGCTTTCCCAGTGAGGCTGAGATTTAGCAGAGGAGTGGGGAGGTTTGCACACCTCTCTCCCAGAAGGGTTTATAATGGAGCACAGCATTCTCCAGCGCGTGGACACAAATGCTCAGCCTGGGCTTTGCAACAGAGCTTTTCTGACGCTTTATGAATGATTGCCATGAACAGAGAAAGCCAGAAAATCCACCTGGACTGCAAATTCACACCAGAATAGGGTTGTGTTTAGCCAGAGAATAGCAGACATTTCCCTCTGCTAAACTGCCCACCAGTAGGCATTGAAAGCTGCACAGCCCCTGAAAGCAGAACATGAGTAGCAGGGCGAAGCCTTTGTCCTGAGGCCGCCTTTGATGCTGGCCATGGAAGGGGAAATTTTCTTCAGTACGGAGCAGGTTTTGGCGAGCTCTTGGTTTTCACACCCACTCAAGCAAAAGTGTATTTTCTAGCAAAGGAAAGTATGTCAGGCCATTGATTTCTTGGGTAACTGCACTGCAGAGCAGACAGAGCTAAATTCAGTGATGCATTAGGCTGCTGGCTGCAAACCAACTACCTAGTAAAAATTGCTTTAAAAACAAAAGCATACCTCGTTGTTGCTGTTGTTTTGTGGTGCATTTGGAGAATAACCTGCCTGCTTTTAGACTTCTGTCCTTGGCTGTCCAACGCCAAACAGGGGGAAAAGCGCTGCACAGGCTGTGAAACAAGAGAACATCAGAGAACTGTAGAGTCATTAAGGTTCGAAAAGACCACTGAGCTCATCAAGCCCAACCGTCAGCCCATCAATCATCAGCCTGTTCCACCATGCCCACTGCTCTAGCTCTGCGAAGCAGTGGAAGATCAATAGAGATCTGACGGAGCAAAGAGCCTGGCTGCATTCCCAGCAGGAGCAGAGATCACACAGCTGAGCTCCCCCAAATTTTCCCCCTGTAGCTCTAAGGGCCTTGGCATTTCAGGCGCTTTGATTGCAAGTGAGGCGAGTTCTTCCTTCTGGCCTCTGTTCCCTTCTGACAGGTTTTGCCAGATGGAGAGACGCGATTACGGGAGCAACAATTGGCACTGCTCCTCCATCCATCCCACTTTGGTTTGCAAATGCTGAATAACGAGAAGCACTTGGCTGGCAAGACCTTGCCACCGCAGGCTCCATTTGCAAACAGCAGCACCTAAAGTGCAACCATCCATCAAAGCGAAGCAGGGGCAGCCCGTCCGCTTGGCTCCCTACACTGCACTGAGTGCAGCTCCAGAAATGCAGAGGCTGAAGTTAACCATGACCCTCCTCCCCATGCCCACCTCTTCCCAACCCACCCCCCAGGGAAGCTCAGTGGGGACAGAAGGGATCGCTCCCTGCCACCCCCAGGCAGCGCTGCCACAGGGATTTGAAGACAGCCATAATTTCTTGAGAGAACATTTCCAGGCGTGCCCGGATAAATTATTCACAAGGAATAAGAGATGAACCCATCTGGAAAAGAATAAAAAAAATAAAACAACTAGAAAAGGCCACTGGAATCTGGCCAGCAGCTTTCTGCTGTAAGGCTGTTGCCAGTTTGCAAAGTTTGTGTTTGCTCTGTGAAAGAAGATAGCAATTATTTATACTGGGTTAATGGAAAGGGGATCCACAGCATGACATAAAGCGTGAGCAAACTGGGAAGCAGAGAATAATGCCATGCTCCTGGACAGGAGGAAGGACAGAACATGCCTCATCTTTGCTATAGCAAAGAAAAATCATCTCAGTACCATCCTGGTTGGTATTTACCCCATTTAACACTCAGAACGTTAAAGCTCTGTTGCAAATTTCAGAGAAGAAAACATATTTCAGCAGTGTTTGCTGGAAATATCATTAGGGTAACAGTCACCCCCGCAATGTTTTATTGCAGGCATTTACTTCCATGCTTCCATTTGCAGTGATTACTCCCAAAATTACTTCTAAACATCCAAACTGCAAAGGAAAGGAGTTAGTCTGGAGCTGCAGTTGATTGCTGTGTTTACTCTTGCATGAGCAATGGTAACAGATCTACTCTTTTTGAAGCATTTTGCTTAAAGAGATGCTGGAGCCCTCGGTGAATGTATCTGCACAACAGGAGGCTGAGCTGGCAGAGCTGTGTGCTCCCTGCACAGGGACCTGGTGCCACCTGAAAGCCAGGCACGTCTCTGAGCAAAGCACAGCACAGAACCTCTGCTGAAAACACATTTCTTTGGCTTGAATGTATGTAGAAAGGGTGGGAAATCTGTGGAAAAAAAAAACAAACAACAAAAACCACCATGGACCAAAACCTACAGTCTGCATAAGGTAGTTTGAAAGTGCATCTCAGCAATGTTAGGTAACAAACACCTGGGATTTCAGCTTCTTTAATCAACACTTAGAGCAGAT